AGGAGAATGGATTTCCCCATCAGCAACCAGCAACAAATACAGAAGTAACGTTTTTACACAACCAAGCCTGTTTTGTCTATTTGTTCTCTCTTAGTCACTAGAAGTGATTTGTCTGTTGGAACCCCTAACACACACTGCTGAGTATGTGCTAGCTCTCACTGCATTACAGCTCTGAACACAGATATCCAATTATTTTTTTTTTTTTTAAAAAAAGAAGCCTTCTCTGAAAATGACCATACAGCTACGACAACACCCCAGTTCACATACGCCAGTAAAAATTTTTCAATACACCTTTGATTTCATAGTTACTTGAAACTGAGACACTGTGAAATACCCTGAAAAGCTCTGCATCCCAAATGAGTAGTTAGAAAACAGATGCTCTTGCAGGAGGCACTTTTAGTAGTATTTGACTACTAACCCCAAAGCTTTGTGATTACACACGTTACAGTACTAAGTAAAATCTTTATTTTTCAGACTATTCCATGACTACTTCTGAATTACTTTACAAAGGCACCAGGTATCTTCTTAATACTGCATTAACTGTTTGGAAGAACATCTGTAAACATTAACAGTTTCTCCAAATTCTCAGACCTTATCAAAGTTGTGGTTTGTCAACATAGTTCAATGAGTACCTCCAAAAGACTACATAAAGAGATAAGTGTTTTCTTAAAAATGTTACACTTGAAACTGAAAGTTTGCAGGAATTTACAAAATAAAAGGCTAAATTGTTGTGCCTGGTTTTGCCTTCATGAGCCAAAACAAGCTACAACAACCCATCAATTAAAAAAAAAGTTAAACCCAGAAGTACTTTACAGACTGAAAAGGACAGAGCAGGCTGACTAGCAAAAAGAATCTGCAGCCATTCCGTATCTTCTAAACTCACTGCCAGAATGTAGGGAAGGAAATGCATGGCTCCAACACATATCAACTGAAAAGACTGCATATACCACAGTTGGAATACAGGCAGATAGATCATCAGCCTGGTTAGGAAGGACAGCAAGATCAAAAGAGCTCCAATTTTTAAATAGCAAAAGACCATTTACACAACAACCCTGAGCAAAAGAAAAGAGGTAAATTCCTTCCTGCACTGAAGGTGCACATCAGTGGCAAAGGGAGAGGACATTTCATTTGTACAGTTACATAAGAGTGGGTGAAAGAGGACACGTACAAACAGGAGGATAAGTTTGGCATAACCAACAAACAGGGTAAAAGCTAGCACACATAGATTGCTCCAGCAATGCCGAGCAACTGCAAATCCCTCTAAATGCACTCTGTTCCACCTAAAATTAAGCTTCTTTTATAGAGCTTCTTTTATAAACTAGGGAATTTGCAGTTCAAGTTTTTCCAGTTAGCTGCACGTACAAGTATTAAAGTTACAAGAAATAATCATAGGACTGCACTATGTTTTAGCATAGTCTACTACCTGTATAGGAAATTTTAATCTGAAAAAGGTAAGTACACTCCTCATCTAAGAGAAAATAGAATCTATATATTATTAAGACAGACACTGCAACGTTTGAACTACAAACTTGCACTAAAACCTCTAAAGAGTCAAGAGCTTAAGTTTAACAGAAGCCAAAGCATAAGGATATAGAAATGCATAATCAGGATTCCCATACATCAATGCCACCACATACCTGCAGCACAGAAATGACAAAAGAACCTGATCTCTTAAGATGTTAGTCCAAATTAATCCAGGATTACAAACATTAAATTATAACCTGAAAACAAGCATTTGTTAATTTCACCATTCACATCCTAAAAATATTACACCCAGTCATTTAAAAATTATGATTTCAACTTTTTGGAAGATTGCTGTCAATCTCCAAGCATAAGATCAAAACTGAGTCCAAAAGGAATAAAAATATGCACTTCCCCCCCATGCTTAACATCACAAGAATGCACAATTTTTGTTAGTGACACTCATACAAGCACAAAACACCTGGCATCAGTTGCCTTAAGAAACACATCAAATACTAAGCATGAAAACAAAATTTGAACCTGTAGCACCAGCAGGTTCTTCAGTTCCGACAGTAACACCGGAAGACTCAGTGTCTTCAACTTTTTCCTCCTGTAAACTGGCATCCGTACTGAGTGATGTGCTATGTGATGTGTTTCCAGGAGATCCTTGTTCACTGAAACTTTGGTCAGATTCAACAGGAACTTCTAACTGGACTACAATAGAGGAAAAAATTTTCATTGAGTAAAATGTACACAAAAACACATTCTAGAACACCAATACGTGTGCTCGTCACATTACAGTGGAGACAAATACTCATCCATGTTCAGACTGCTTGCTGTTGTATTAACACAAAATTAAGTTTTTACAACACAGCTACTTGTAGCAACCCTCTAAATTTAGAGCTGCTTAGAAACACACAGGCTGCTAACTCTTTATAGCCTAAAATGGGATAGGTCTCCTCAAACCATTATCAGAGCTCCCCGTGAAAGGGAAATGCAGTGAAGCACAACGCAGAAAAAGGGAGTGTTACCTCCACCCAGACTAAGAATAAAATCATCCTGTTTGGTGTTTTTAGTGTTCAACAAGATTAAACTGTAAGTTCAGCATTATGGGTTACGTCTTCAATCTAAGCGTTAAAACTTAAAACCAACCACAACATTTCCTTTAACTTATTTTACAACCTATGGAGCTCTCCTTTGGCAAGGCCAGTTACCGCAGCCAGTTATCCCTCTACTGGATAAGGTCCCCCCCCATGCAAGGGAAATGCTAGGGTTACTGATGGAGGCAGAATCAAAAGCAAAAGGCAATTGTGGCAGCAAAGAGAGATATAAACTTCCCTTGAGTCTTCTCTGCACAGCTGATGGAATCAGGTTTTAATTGCAGATATAGAGCCTGCAGGTTATGGAAGTGAAAATATAGTGCTTGCAACAACTATATGACTGCCAGGCGACCACACACCAGAGTACACCAGGAATCTGCTCACCCTTCTCTGATTCCTTTTGGTTAAATACTGCATCTTTTGAAGGCTGGATTTCTGCTGAAGTTGTGACATGATCTGTATTTAAAATCTCATGGCTAATACTAGACGAGAGTCTTGAAGATCGTCTCCTGACCTGGTCTCTTTCAGGGTTATCTGAAGAGTTCTTCAATTTTTCCTGAGCTGGAATAGACAAATTGGTACCGTGCAGTTACAGGATTACTAAATAGCTCACAAGCAAACTTTAAAGACTTCCCCTCCTTGCGACAGTGGGGATTTTTAAGGACTGAGGTTAATAGCAAAAGCTAAACAACCCTGGTGATTAGACCTCTCTGTAAAAGCTGCAATCATATTAACAGTTATAAACAAGCATAAAAATAGAGCAAAAGCCTACCTTATAGGTGTCTCAACTACCTTCAGTAACAGATTTGAAGTAAGAATACAGATCAGTATCTTACTGGTGAAACTTTGCTTTAAGCAGCAGCTGTCCCACAGATGTAAGTAATACCAGAAGTATGAGACAATTTGGATACACAAACAACTTGGACCCTAAGCTGTATAATGTATGTGCACTGAAGTTTTAGGACTTAGTGGTCCTAAGGAAGGGAAAGACAGCCTTCTTCAGATCTTCACCTCCTTCGTTCATGATACTACTATAGAGAATATGATTTTCCTTTCTCATCAACACATTTAATTTCAATATCACTACACAGTATACCAAGAGAAAGCAGAAGCTATTATACTGCAGTGACATAAATGTTTATCCAGTATTAAAGTTTCTTTGCTAAGCAATGCAGTAGATTCTCCACTGAGTAACTAAGCAGTTTCTATAACTAGAAAGAGGCTTTTATAACTTTCTGTGTGTTGGAAGCAATATAATCACTGCCTCCCCTGCATCTATGAACTTCTGCATCAAGACTCACATATTGATGCTTCCTTCATCCAGACCCAGATTCCAAGATTTAGGTTGGAACTTCACCGTGATGATGCTACACATGAATGGCCAATTTAAGAAAAACAGGTGCTGCATTTCAGTCATTTCATGTATCACAGTTCAAGGTTAATACTACAGACTGTTCCCCCCCCCTCCACTTAAGCTTCAAGAACTTTTACATACGTGTACTGAGAGTTGAATACAAAAAAATACTCACACAAGTTTTTTTCAATTCTGGGACGCTTCGACGGAACTTCACCTCCTTTAGGTATTTTCCGACGTCTTAACTCCAAAGTTATGGGCTGCAGCGTCTGAGAACTTGGCTCTACTATTTAGATAGAGAACAAAAATTGACTGGATATGAAGCTGCAAAACTCTTTAAAACATGACTTCCAAAGCCTCACATCTTAAAATACTGGACTTGCTTAAATACAGTTTCACCTGGCTTTCCAAAGTCTACATACCATATAGTAGTATAGTATACTTTTACATACTATTTACAGGACAACCAGACAATCAGGTCCAGTGAACACGGGTTCACAAAGGGCAGGTCCTGATTAATGAACCTGATCTCCTTCTATGACAAGGTGACCCACTTGGTGGATGAGGGAAAGGTTGTGGATATCATTTACCTAGACTTCAGTAAAGCCTTTGATACTGTTCCCCACAGCATTCTCATGAGAAAACTCACTACCCAAGGACTGGACAGGCGTACACTCTGCTGGATCAAACACTGGCTGTATGGTTGGGCCCAAAGAATGGTGGTGAATGGCGTTCAATCCAGTTGGCAGCCGGTCCCAAGTGCTGATCCCCAGGGCTCGGTGTTGGGGCCACTCCTATTTAATATCTTTATTAATGATCTCAACGAGGGGATTGAGAGTACCCTCAGTAAGTTCGCAAATGACACCAAGTTAGGTGTTCATCTGTTTTGAGTGTAGGAGGGCTCCTCAGAGGGACCTGGATAGACTGGATCGATGGGCTGAGGTCAATGGTGTGAGGTTCAACAAGGCCAAGTGCCAAGTCCTGAACTCAGGTCACAACCACCCCAGGCTTGGGACAGAGTGGATGGAAAGCTGCCTGGTGGAGAAGGCCCTGGGGGTGTTGGGTGTTGGCGTCACCCGACAGCCGGTTGAATATGAGCCAGAAGCATGCCCAGGTGGCCAAGAAGGCCAACAGCATCCGGGCCTGCATCAGGTATAGTGTAGCCAGCGGGACTGGAGAAGTTACTGTCCCACTGTACTCTGCACTGGTGAGGCCCCACCTTGAGTACTGTGTTCAGTTTTGGGCACTGCAGCATAAGAAGGTGAAGGAGCGTATCCAGAGAAGGGCAAAGCAGCTGGTGAGGGGCCTGGAGCAAAAGTCTTCTGAGAAGCAGCTGAGGGACTTGGGGTTGTTTACTTTGAAGAAAAGGAGGCTGAGGGAAGACCTTACTGCTCGCTACAGCTATCTGAAAGGAGGGTATAGAGAGGTGGGCATTGGTCTCTTCTCACAAGTTAGAACTGATAGAACAAGTAGAAATGGCATCAAGTTGTGCCAGGGGAGGTTTAGGTTAGACACTAGGAAAAACTTCTACACTGGAAAAGGTTATCAAAGACTGGAACAGGCTGCCCAGGGAAGTGGTTGAATCGCCATCCTTGGATGTATTTAAAAGCTGGCAAGGTATGGTGCTCAGGGCCATGCTTTAGGAGTGGGCCTGGTAGAGTTAGACAACAGTTGGACTTGATGATCTTGAGGGTCTTTTCCAGCCAAAATGATTCTATGATATTAGCATTTAATCCTACTGCAGACATGTTTTATAATATATGAAGACTACTTGCCTAAATCTAACCTCTGACCAAACTACTGAAGCTCCAAATCTGACTAACAAGTATGCTCTCAGCATACTAACCAAGCCTAAACAAAGATGAGTTTAAAACTTTTTAAAAGTTTCGAGAGACTTAGGCTGTGAAAGAGCAAGACCTTTTTCAGTCATTTAGGTAAGTTTAGAAGGGTTCTGATATATGGCCTAAACATTTAAGCTAAATTACATACCTGTTGGAGGTGTTATCGGCGGTCTTCCACGTTTTCGTTTAGTTTCTTTTGCGTTTTCCTGTGGACTCTTCACATTGTCATTCTCAGGCTTCTTCTCAATTTGTTTATCTACTGAATATTCCATATCATTCTCTGATATATTCTCTTTATCTTCTTTTCCATTCTTAGATATATTCTTTTCTAAGACCTTGCCTTTTTCTGAGATGACTATCAATTTTCCTTCTTTATCAGGTTGCTTAACTCTTTTCTCAGTCTTTAGTCTCTTTTCATCCTTGTCTTTCTTTGCATTACCTGTTGCTTTCCTCTGTTCTTTAAATTTCTCCCGCTTTTCAGGAGATGACGGAATTTCATTACCTCTTTCCTTAGGCTTAGCATTACCCACAATATTCTAGAATAAAGAGAATGACATATGAAAATTAACTTACTGCAATCTGACAGTCCTCCCCTGCCTTTGTGTTTAGCGGACTTGCATCCTTGTCCAATTTTTTTTTTTTTTTTTTTTTCAAAGTATAAAAGTATATGCTCTACTGCAACCCACAGATTAAAACTCACAGGCACTCAAACTGGCCAAGGACCCATACAGCTTCAAAAGCACAGGGGAACAGATTCACTCTTTTCACAACTCCATGGCATAAGAGATGTGCTGTTTCTTCGTTCTCATGTGCAGGTTAGGTCCATACTAACTTGCACCTTGCACAGTACTACTTAAAGCCTACTTGGGACACTGAAGAAAGACTGGGAGTCAAGAGCACAGAAAAGGACAAACAGCTCAATCACTTGGAGGCAAAAACAAAAGTCTCATTCAAAAAAAGACCAGTATTCAGCTTGTAACTATCACTGCTACTGAAACACGCTAAGAAAAGAGT